CTTTAATTGTTGACACTTCTGTAAGAGGGTACAATTTAAAGTCTGGAAAAATAAGGCAAAATAAAACCTCAGGGATGCCATAACCAGGCCATAAGGGCCTGGAGGCTCCAAACACCCCATAGCATAACTAAAGCATGCTTAGGTATGCACGGTGACCCTGCCAGGCACAGAGCGAGGCTGCGTGTGAATGCCAGTGCCTTCCCTCCACACGTCTCCTGGTGTGTTAAGCAATGCGCCAAAGCAAATTAAATCCTTAGTGACAGCCAAACTATTTAAATAAGAAACCCAATCCAGAGGAGAAAAAAAGAAGGTGGACAGGGTTACAGGTGCTTATTTACACTGTGAAACAAAACATGCTATTCAGTAGGGGACTTGTTATAAAGACCACTGTGAGCAGGAGTACCTCACCCTTAAGCTACTTAGCTGCTTTTTCAACGTGAAGGTTCAAGAGTTTGTCACAAACAAAGAGTATAATCAAGAATTTCATTTGCAGCTGTCAGGAGGTTCAAAGCTGGCTTTAAACTTTATAATTGGGTTTAGCATTAAGTGCTAAAGTTGAATTAAAGAAAATTCAGAAACTAAGGAAGATTATATTCAAGAATAATAATTTATCTTCTCAGTCTAAGTACTAAGTTAACTCCTGAAAGCAGGAAAAAAAAGTCAGCAAAATGTGTCACAATGCTTATTAAATACCTTTGAAAATTATTTTAAAATATTCAAGATCCTAAATATTTTAAAACAGTAAAGTCAATGACAAGATCACTTTATAGAAACTTATTCATTCTGATTTCATTAGTTATAAAAAGGAAAAGAACCCACAGAGTTCCATGTCTTGATTATTTAGCATCGATTTATTCCTTTCCCAATTATGAAAGTAGAAGAATTTTATATATGGCAATGTGCTCCAAAGAAACCCAGAAACTGTCCCCTCTTCCACCTCACCTAGTTTTCACTAGGCCACATGGCTCCTGTACATTTGAAGGAATTGTGCTTCATTCAAGACACATGTCTATGATGTTCTCCCAGTCCTGGGCTGTATCTCCCAGTCCTGGGCTGACAGCCTGTGACAGGCTGAAGGGGAGTGGGAGATATTCTCAAAGTAAAACCCACAGAAAAGACCAACTGTGGCTACAGTCCAAGGCGAGGTCACGCTCCTCTGACAGCTTTCAAATATACTAGTGCATCTACAATAAATCCAGCAGAGTCACCTGGCATGTAACAAATTTTTGGATAAATTATTCTCTTTCTCTAGTCAGTGATCATTCAGGAGCAGAACAAAAGATAGTTTAACACTGTTCTGTGTGCTAAATATAATGGATGGAAAATCTTAAGGAAAAAATTTCAAGGTGGGACTATAACTTCAAAACCCTAACTGCAGTAACAAATAAAATCTCAGTTTACAATAACATGTGAGTCCTCTTTACTGAGGCCTAAAACACGGCATTCTCAGCAATGCAGAAGAGCCAGACGGTCTGCCTCTCATTTTCCGCCCACCCGACTTCCTGACAGCGGGCCTGCGGTACACCTGTGACCACATTAACATGGTAGGGCCTCGTCTCAAAAACATCTAGACTCTAAGACACACCAAGAAGCATTAAAGCAAAAAACTGGTTTATAAACTGGGAGTCTATGTCAACTCTTCTGCTTACTGGCAATGACTTAAAGACCTGAACTCACCAACCAGCATCCTCTCGGTCTTGCAGATGGCCTCAAGGAAAGCTCCTCTCCGCCTTGTTTTAGCCATGTGCAGGCACAGGTAAAGAGCAGTAGCTCTTCCACGTATGTTGTTTCCATAAGATTATATTAAACTTAGAGCACCTGAACTTTTCTTACTTAAGTAAAAGAACTGTTCTTTTGACTGATTTTCCTTTTAATCCCAGTGTCAATCATCTGAAGGAATGTTAATATCAAAACATAAAGTGGGTCTATTGTGTGTACAAGATGTCAAAAAAAAAAGCGATCTCCCTGCCAATGCTATTTTATTAACTGTACATTATTTTTGTTTCTGTATATTTATTTTATAAAGGATTTTCTTGTTAGGTGCCTAAATGGTGGCTTTACTTCTGAGGTACCAGTAACGATAGGGTTATTTTGACTGTATTTGTCAATTTTTTGTTTACTATAACGTCTTTCATATTTACTCAAGCAGTGGGAATATTTTACAGCTGCACTACCACAGTCAACATAACTATTAATAAAAGTTATGGAAGATCCTGGAATATCAGTTCTAAGTGTCAGTTTCATTTTCCTTATAAATTTATCTATAAACAACTGGGTGACACCAGCCTTTTTTACACTTTAACTTCAAACTAAAATATCACTATTTCCCCAACAGGAAAAAAAAATTATTCCGACAAGTGGAATTCAAAAAAAATGTGGGTTAACAATAAAACATAATCATCAAGAAAATATTTAAACTTCATTATTGTATAAAATCTAAGCAGTACTTTGTATTACATGACAGTGAGGCTAATGTCTACATTTTGTACATGGTATGATTTAAACATGGCCTCAAGAAGATCTAAGAAAAATAAGAAGCATGAAAACAATCACTTAGGTAAGTTATGGTTCTTCCATTGACATACTATTTAATAGGACTATTTAACAGAACTACCAAAAACCTAGACTTAAGATAGCTATATGAGGATTCCTTTTATGATTTGGAATGCATATGTAAATTAAGCTAATGTATAAGCCTGAAATTATAGCGTATGCCTGAATATAAGGTAAACATGTAAGTTCCTGAAGTCACTTATTGTCTCATTTGAGTTCTTACATTATCTTGTATCATGAGATACTTACTACTTACTACTGAACAAAAAAGTTGGTGGGGAAAACAATGTCAATAAAAGCTACTTTCAGGATGTTTATTGAAGTATCTTAAGAGAATCAGAAAAGAAGGGGGGTGGAAACAAGGAACACATTAACTATTTCCTGGAATAACCTCAAATTTTATTGGATGCTGTTACAAAGAAAGACTCTGTAACTAACCACTTTTAAAAAGTAGTCCATTAGTAGTCTGCAAGGACACCAGTCAGAGTCCTTAATTCTGGGTAAGTAATTGGGTAGACTGGGGAGCTAACCTGCTTTTCACCACGTACCCATTTATATGCTCTATGTTTTAAGCCTTGTGACTACATTACCTTCTCAAAACAAAATATGGTTCAATTCTTAAACAGGAACTACGATTTCCAAAAATGATACAGTCGATCATAAATATCAGTTGACTGTAAAGAGATGTGACTATACAAGTAAAAGACAAGCCCCAGTTTTACAATAATTGTGGTTTAGACATATAATCTCCAGTGTCAGATGATACATGTATTCAAAAACTGCTGCAACTCAAACAAGAGCCAGAAATGAAGCTGGAGCCTGGGTTTTAGAGCTAGACAGATCATGTAAATGATTCAACTGATAAAAACACCACCCAGACTTGTAGATAGGGTTTGAGCAAGACAGTTTTATGAAAGGAGAGCATGAACAGCAGTTCTTGGATACATGGTATGCTTCATAAAATGTGATGTTACTTAAGCACAAGTAAATTTACTTAAATCAGTAAGTTAAATTTTTTATCATTTCATCTACCTTCCTAAAGCTTTACAAGGGAATACTACCTTATTTTTGGACTTACCTTATATTCAGACATACATATTCAAGAGAACATTCTTGCAAAAGAATATGGTGAGTTATATCAAGTAAATCACCACAAAGTATAAACTTTCTCCACATACTTCTCTGCTACATATGACTATTTTCTTGAGTAACTATATGTTAATGGAATTTTATACAAGTACAGCTATTTTGACAGTAGTAATCTGAACAGGATACTGGTCCAAATGCAGTGTCAATCTGATCAGACATAGTTATGTTTCAGCAAATGTGCTTACCTCTCTCAGCTACTAACATAAAGCTGGGCTCCCACTGAAGGAAAGTTCTAAAGTCATTACTGGTCAATCACAGCCTCTGAAGGCCTTGATGGGACCTTACTGAAATGTGGCTTTATACCAGTCAAACTAAACAAGGGTTGTGCCTAACAAGTATCAGTGACAAGTATCATACCTAATTTGAAGGGAGAACAAGTTAACTTCAAAGACATGTACTAGAGAGCTAAGAATAGCAGCATATGTTCTGTTCATTTAGACCAATAATAGAAAGGACTAGGAAACACGGTAACCAGGAACACAGGAGTGCTCTGGAAGAAAACAGTTTTATTTCTTCTCACTTTAAAAACTGAAAATTAAGTGTGTGTGTATGTGTGTGTGTGTGTGTAAATGTAAAACTCATCAGAAATGTGGAGAACACAGCAAGTAAATGCAGTGAAATTCTTAAGTTTGCCTTCAAAAGTGAATGCTTACTGTGTTTGTGAATTATGACTTTGTATTTGCCAGTTTGGTGTGTTAAGCATTAAAGAATAAGCGTGTATCATCTATCTCTATTCCTTATGTCAAAAACCGACAGGATTGTGTCTCTGCAGATTCTCGAATGTCTTTGTGCTCAATGAAAATTTCCCCAAAAGTCAGCAAATGAATGGAAGGTACTCATTATGTATACATGGATAAGCCAACCAAAGATTGAGGACAAAGTCTTATCTTATACTCAATTAAGAAGTTCTTGCTTTCTTAGTGATCTTTAAGATGAGCCATAACACAGTGGAGAGGGGGAAATGTAGTCAAAAACACAGCTTATTTACCCTGGAATCAAGAGAGGAGGCTACTTGCCAATGCCATTCTGCAAGTTCTAAAATGGTTAAATCTACAGCTTATTTCCAGAGTCAATGTTGTCATCAAATATATTACTGAGAAAATAATGAAAGAATTGGATAGGAAGTGAAATTCTGCCTATTACCACTCAAAACTAGCCAGGGCCTCAATAGAATTCTCTCCTCCAAGGCAGACTGCTGGATGTAACTGACAGAAAATTACTACCCTAGAGGAACTGAGGTCATAGGAGCGAAGTAGCTTAACCAGAGTTCCCACCACACATGCTGAATCAGGACTCACCATTCTTCCTTTCGGTCAGAGGGGGTAAGTGCTGACTGGACTGCAGGGAGAGTTCTTGGAATTCATGGGCAACGGCTTCACTTTGAGGGCTTGGAGCAAGATGGGCTAAAGGTCCCAACTCATCTTCAGTGTCCAGCGTCCCTGTGTGATCCATTTTGTTCCAGCCACTTGCAACAGGAGGTACAAGACACCTCTGAAATGTGGCCTGTTGAAGAGACTGTTTAAAAAAAAAAAGGTAACTAGATGGTGCATTTATTTTTTCCCAGTTCATATCAGAGCAGTGAAGTGGGGCCCTAGGCTCCAGGTCCATCTCATGCTGTGCGGCAGGAGCCCACACACCCTCCCCACCTCTACCTCCGATCTCCCATCTAGCCCACAGGAACAGCACACTGCCCATCTAAACAGCACTTTACTAGGTGAATAAAAATGTAACATTTTACATAATTTTTATTCCACTGATTAAAGACACTTTAGTTACTGGTGACATTATTTTTTTTTTTTTTTAAGATTTATTTATTTATTTGTGCATACAGAACTGGGGTACAGGCCAGAGGCTCAGGGGCGGTGAGAGGCTTCACCAGAGACAGAGTGGGGAGCAGAACAGGCAGATCTACGAAGTACACTGCTGAGGGGAGCAGCGGGCGGGTCAGGAGAGGTCTGGCTCGCCACGTGGTCTCCTCCGGGGCAGGCGGCAGGCGGGAATCGAACTCATGCGGAAGTGGCTTCAGATTCTCAGTACTGTGCTTTAACCCGCTGCGCCACCAGGGAGGGCCACTGGTGACATTATTTTAAAATCTTAATGCATCCTCAAATGAAATTAAAAGTTAACTAATATAAATGAAAATTTAAAAGTAGTCTGGTTTGAAAATGTAGACTTTTGCGTAACAACTTCACATTGAATCAACAGTTATAGTAACTAGTGATGTTTCAGACATTGACCCCTTTATGAGCCACAGTTTCAGAGTCATAAATGGGGAACAGAACTCTCAGCTAAACAACAATGGACATAAAGTTCATGAAAAAAACAAAACTTCATTTTAAACCACCAAGATTTGGGGCTGTTATCACAGCAAATCTGGCCCGTTTCGACCTACATAGAAATCATTAAGACATAGCAAAGACACAACACTAACCCTAATTATGTACTGGCTCAGTGGCTAAGTAACATGTAAGAAATGTTACCAAAGACTAGAAGGATGGTGGCCCATCTTATACAATGACACAAGTGCTGATAAAGTTGCCTGCCTAGGGGCATTCTATACCAGCTTGTCTATCCATTCACCTGGCGATGTGTATTAGACTTCTAGTTTTGATTATTTTAAATAAAGAAGTACTGGACATTCTTGTATGCGAATAAAAAGACACGTTTTCATTTCTCTTAGGTGAATACCTAGGAGTGAGATGGCTAGATCATATGGCAACTATAACTCACAAGTTATTTTCCAATATGGTTGTGCCATTTTGCATTTGTCCAAGCAATGAATGACAATTGCATTTGTTCTACATCCTTGCAAATATTTAATTATCATCAACCTTTTAAAATTTTAGTTATTTTAAAGGTATCTCATGGGTTTAATTAGTATTTTCCTAATGGTGTCGAGCATCTTTTAATGTACTCATTTGCCATCTGTGTATCTTTGGTTAATTACTGATTGAACTGTTTGTTCATTTTTTAAATTGGGTGGTTTTTAAATACTGTTTTAAGAGCTTTTCATACATCCTAGAGAAAAGTCCCTAATCAATGTGTGATTTGCAAATATTTCACCTAATCCATGGCATTTTTAAAGTGTTCTGTAGAGAGCAGATGTTTTCTTTTTCTTTCATGGATTATGTCTGTAGTGTTGTAGCTAAGGAATCTTTTGACTAAGCCAAAGTGACAAAGATCATCTCCTAAATTTTCTTCTAGACATCTCATAATTTCATGTTTTAAATTTAAGTCTGTGATACATTTTGAGTTAATTTTTACATATACTGTGATACAGGAATCAAAGCTGTTTTGTGGTTTTCTTTTTCTTCTTTTTTTTTTTTTGGTATAAAGATACCTGATTGTTCAAGAGCCACCTGTTGAAAGGTTTTATCCCCACGAAATTGCCTTTATACATACTTTGTTGCAAGTCAACTAATCATATATATATATGGATTTATTTCTTACTGTACACTTACTTCCCAGGAAGGAAAGCATTGCAAAGAAGGAACTCTAAATTCTGCCCAAGTCTCTGGCTGACCCCTAAAGTATGTATACACAGGGCAGACTCCTAATAGTCTACTAAGACAAAAAGAACATAACAGAGATTTTTAGCTGCTGCTCACCTGAGGAAAGAGTTTATACAATTGAGTTCAGCAAAATGAACTGCAAAACAACACTCATAATGGGAACTATAAAGGACCCAGAGTTTCTATATCTGTCCACCAAGAACCCCACACTCAACAAAAATACCCTTTAATAAGAATGCAAAATTGTAAACAACAGACCCAAAATACAAGAAATCTTTCAAGCTGAAAAGAAGTAATACCAAGTAGACACTTGAATCTCAGGAATGAAAAGCACTATAAAGTATAAAATTTTTCTTTCCCTTTTGATCCCTTTAATATTGTAAGTCAAAGTAAAATTGTAACACTGTTGTGGGGTTTATAATGTAATTACAACAACAGATGTAATACATACTAAATTATAGCAGAGAAGGTAAGGGAGGGTTAGTTATATTGCATTATTCTACTTCTATATTGGAAGGAAGTTGTACAATTTTACCTTGAAGTAGATAAGAAATCAAGGTTTTATAATTACTGGAGCAATGATTTAAGAATACAAATAATTTAGCTAAAAAGCCAGTAAGTGGATTAAAAAAAAAAGGAATTCTAAAAATATACAAAAGCCAAGGAATAGAGAAGCAAGAAATAGAAAAAACAAAAACACAAAAGAGTAGGCCTAAATCTAAACAACTGCATTACACGTAAATGGACTGAACACTACTATTAAAAGACAAGAAACTGAGAGAATGAATTTTTTTAAAGTCTAAAAACATGTTTGTAAGCACCATACTTTAAATATGAAGATATAAATATAGAATTGAAATAAATTGACAGAAAAAGACAGCTTATGCAAAGCAAGACTGGAATAACAGCATTAATATCAAACAAAGTAAACCTCAAAAAGATGGTAGGTAGTGAATATACATATAAAAATGCTTTATTTCACTACAAAATATTAAAATAATTTCAAGATAGTTTTCAAAGTTATTTATTTTCATTTCAAAACTAATCTGTAATACAAAATAAAACATGCTCACAAAAGTTAATTCCACAAATTCTGAACATTAGTGCTAATAATTTGGAAGATCCTTTAGCATAAGATTCTAAAATATTTTCATGCAATATTATCTGTTCTTTGTATTGAAGAATTTTTAAGCTATTATTCCTTGACATTATGCTCACCTTAAACTCCTACACATCCTTCCAAATTAAGAAAATTATAAACTTAAAAAATCTTTACAAAATGTAGAAAAAGAAAAGAATTAAGTGTTCAGAATTTTTTCACTTAATATTCATGAACATTTTTTGGCAGAGTTTAGACTGTATCCTGAAATTTTACAACCAAATTTGCAAGCTGTCACTTAGTGTCAACTTACCTGGTTGATAACTGTCTCTTGAAATTCAACATTAAACATAAAGACACATTATCTGTCCAGTAGTCTCTAATTGCAGTGTTAAAGAAGGGTATTAACATGGACTGTTTCATTGAGTCATGATTTAGTTATGAAAATAAAGAAATCACTTTAACTAGACCAACTGTGGTAAAAGATTAATTTGTCTAAAAGTGACAGAATGAATGGAGTTAAGTATCTTACAATCCTAATGCATTCCAAAACAAAATGCATCTATTTGTCCAGTACTAAGGTTAAAGTTTGGAACAATAGTAAGATGAACTTGAGATGTAGCTGTTGCTTTTGAAAAAAACCTACTTCACTATTAGATACTACTACCAAGACAGAAAACACACACACACACACAAAGAGGTGGCAAATTTTCATTTACCCATCTACTGATTCACATTCCTTTTTAGTTTATTAAATTTGGAGTTACAGTTTTGCTCTTCTCTATGTCCACTGTTCCACTCACCTGTCACCAAACCACTCTTGCCAATACCCCTCAGCACCTTCTTCCTTTTTCCTCCCTGTTCCCTCTGGTAATTATTACATTCCTTCACCAAGTTTGAGATTTATTCCTACTGTATTATTGCCTGTGTATGTTCTTAGGGTGTTTAGATCAATATTCCACAGATGTAGTGATCCGTATCTTTCACTTTCTGATTCTTTCATGTCACATAATCACTTTGAGATTTGTCCATTTTTGTCCCAAAAGCTACTATTTTCATATTTTATTCACTGCTGTTTTGTATTCCCTTGAGTATATATTACACACTTTGTCTGTTGAGGGCAACTTAGTTTGGTTCCATGACTTGGCATGTGGACAGTGCTGCTATGTACATACGTGTCTTTTGATATCTGAGTCTTCATATTTTTAGGGTAAATATCTGATATTGTTGATCATATGGAAGTTCCATTTCTATTTTCTTGTAAATCTCCATACTTTTCCAAAGAGGCTATATCAACTTACATTCCCACTAACAGTGGATAAGAGTTCCTTTTTGACCACATCCTTACCAACATTTGTTGATTACATTGCTTTTGAAAGGGCCATTGTCAGAGGGGTGAGGTGGTATCTTACTGTAGTTTTGATTTGCATTTCCCTATAAATGATGAACAACTTTTCATGTCTGGAGGCCATCTCAATGTCATTGTAAAAGTATTGTAGGCCTTTCCTCATTTTTTTGATTTGGTTTTCTGTCTCTGTTGTTGTTCAATTGTATAAGAACTTTGTATATTTTGGAGTTTAACCCTCTGTCAGCTTATGATTTGCAAATATATATGTATTTTCCCTTTCTTTAGGCTGCTTCTTTGATTTTATAATGATTTCTTTTGAGGTACAAATTTTTTTTAATTTGACAGTCCCACTTGTTTATTTTTGCTTTCATTTCTATTGTTATCAGGTTTGAGACCCTACATAAATCTGTGTAATAGATCTTCCATAGTGTGCCCACTGTGTTTCAAAGTGTTTTATAGTTTTGGAAACTCAATCCCATGGAGTTAAACAGAAACCCCAGCGAAAACACCCAAATATAGAAAGTTAATCTACGACAAAGGAGCTATAGACAGAAGA